GAGGGAGGAGGAAGGGAGGGAGGGAGAGAGGGAGAAGGAAGGAAGGAAGGGAGGAGAAGGAAGAAAGGAGGGAGGAAAGGAGGGAGAAGGAAAGGAAGGAAGGAGGGAGAAGGAAGGAAAGGAAGGAAGGAGGGAGAAGGAAGGAGGGAGGGAAGAGTGGGAAGGAAGGAAGGAAGGAAGGAAGGAAGGAAGACATGAAAGCAAGATGAGGAAAAGGGTAATTATAATCTGATGTAATATTAAAAAGTTACTTTTTTTTTTTTTAAGGATCTGTTCCTATCTAAGGGCTCCTCTTCTGACACCCGCCCTAACCCAAACGATTTACTGGCCAGCTGCCACCGAGGGCAGTTCTCACCTGAACCTCTAAGCCCCTCCCCGCCGTGCAATTTATTTCCCTTCTTTATTCTACACGGCTTCTCGGCGGCTCCGATCAGGACCAGAACAGCCACGGCGTTTCCCAGGATCGGCTGAGCTCCAGAAATGAGACAGAGAGAGAAAGTGTGACGCTCTTGCCCGAAGCCCAGGAAATGTGGAGCTTCATAACAAAAATCTGGTGAGTCTCCAAAGGAGCAGGAGAGAAGGGAGGCAGGCGGAGACGGTGAAATGGAAGTGAAATTCATAACCTCGGTCGGTCTATTTCAGACCTTCGGGTCTTCTATTGAAAGCCCTGACAAAGTGACGGACTCTGGGGGGATAAAACAGGCCGGCCCATACAGCAGGGGTCTCCAACCTTGACAACCTTAAGCCTGGAGGACTTCAACTCCCAAAAACTCCCTGAAGAGGAGAAGAACCTCAAGCCTTGGGCCTGGGAGATCTTCCAGTCCCTCCATCCCCTATCCTGGTCCTCTCTGGGCAGACGCCGGGCCCTCTTCCACTCACCTCTGAGTATCAAGCAATGAAGCTTCGTTGTCTTCACTGGCCTCCACGGCATTGGAGCACTTCAAGAAGAGCAGGTGGCTTCTTTCCAGCTTCCTCTCCTCTCGTATCTGCTCTCTAAAAAGGCCACCAGAGGGGTACAAGGTGAAACGGAGCTGCCGGTAATTGGGCAGCTAACGGTAAAGGTTCCCCTCGCGCATACGTGCTAGTCATTTCCGGCTCTAGGGGGCGCTGCTCATCTCCGTGACAAAGCCAAAGAGTCAGCGCAGTCCGAAGACATCTCCGTGGTCATGTGGCCGGCGTGACTGAACACCGAATGCGCACGGAAGGCTGTTCCCTTCCCACCAAAGGGGTCCCTATTTTCCGACTTGCATTTTTTACGTGCTTTCGAACGGCTAGGTTGGCAAAAGCCGAGATAAGGAACGGAAGCTCCCTCCGTAACGCAGTGCTAGGGATTCGAACCGCCAAACTGCCGACCTTTCTGATCGACAAGCTCAGCATCCTTAGCCCTTGAGCCACTGTGTCCCTTATAACTGGGCAGCCAGCTGAAGCTTAAAAAAAGAACAAAAAACCCTCCGTTTCCCAGACAGAAATCAGACTCGACTAAACTCGGCACCCCAGAGGTCACTTAGCCCAAACGCCGGATCAATGCAGAATGGGATTGTCTGATGACTATTCATCCTTCCTAGGAAGACCCTTCCTAAGACAGCCTATTGACCTGGCCGACAGCTGGTAGAGTCAGGAAGGGCTTAAGGCTACAAGCATGTCAGTCACTGGACTATTCCCCATTGGAAGTCATGGAAAAGCTATTTAATTCCTGAAATAATGATGGTTAAGCCTTCCACAACTGCTTGCGATGCAGCGAAATAGCAAGGAGAAGATGTGTTGTATTCATAACAGAATACAACGTACCTATTTCCAAACCATTTGTATACTGCACGAGTCCAAAAGAGGGCTGTGAAAGTATCTACAGACCCCGCACATCCCGGACATAAACTGTTTCAACTCCTTCCCTCAAAACAACGCTATAGAGCACTGCACACCAGAACAACTAGACACAAGGACGTTTTTTCCCCCAAATGCCATCACTCTGCTAAACAAATAATTCCCTCAACACTGTCCAACTATTTACAAAGTCTGCAATATTATTACTATTCAACTTCTCATCACTCCTTATCGCCCATCCCCTCCCACTTGTGACTGTAGGACTGTAACTTTGTCGCTTGTATCCTTACGATTTATATGGACTGTTTCCGAGTATGATTTGATTGCTTATTTGCTTATCATTTGCTTGATTGCTTATCATTAAGTGTTGTACCTTATGATTCTCGACTCTTGACAAATCTATCTTTTCTTTTATGTCCACTGAGAGCGTTTGCACCAAGACAAATTCCTTGTGTGTCCAATCACACTTGGCCAATAAAGAATTCTATTCTATTCTATTCTATTCTATTCTATTCTATTCTATTCTATTCTATTCTATTCTATTCTATTCT